GTTTCGTTAAGTAACCTTAAAACGAATTGAAGTATAGTTATTGTGTCACATTGATTCTGATATCAAAGATGGAAGTGACGGAAAAAGGAAAAGTAATGAATAACATTGTTTTTTCCTAATTTTCAATGTTTTCAACTTTTATTATCTTACGTTAAATAATAGATGTTCAAAGATTACTTAAACATTAAACATTTCTCAGAAACAAATTCTACACCGACACATTGTTATGTATTAAAAAATTAATAAAATTAATTTCAACAGTCATAAATACCTACCTAACTTACTTTACACGTATTATTTAACTAATTATCCACAGTTCTATATCCATTAGCTTTTACACCGGAAGTACACATGGCAGAACAATTTTTTTAATATGGAGTAGCTTTAGATATACAACTTTTAGTAAATCAATCGACTTATTTTCTGGTTTAATTCTTTATGATGTTACTTTTTATTGGATATTTTTCCTTCGATCTACATTTTTTGTAGGAATATACACTAGAAACTAAAATAAAATTTTTTAAAGTTACAAAATTTATCGGTTGATCATGAAAAAGAAAGTGAAAATTTTCAAGAGTACAAAGATGATAAATGAGAAGATTGAAAGGTTCCATTTGAATCAAAAATTTTTATTTAGAATTTTACATGTTTATAGATTTAACTTCAAACGTAATTTTATTTATTTTATTTAATAACAACATGTATAAATATAATTCGCCACTGTAACAACAAAAATTGCAAACGTTATTCTTCTAACGTTTGTTATGGAACGATACCTAATGAATACTGCGGGAAATGTCACCCATCAGAGAAAAATTGGTATAATTTGTTATATTATTTTCCTTTTCTTCATACTTAATGAAACACTAAAAACATAAAACGTTTAGAAATTTAACCCTTTTTCTGTACCTTTTTCGACACCAAAGGTGTCATTTGAGACTAATCATTAAGGATGACATTTCTAAATGTTTTATGGGGAATTTCGGGTATTTATTAGTGTTTTATATAGTACTAGTTTAGCTGCTCTTGTCTGCCGAACATGGTTTATTGTAAAACATCTTGCGTCTTCATAAACCTATAGTTTTATATTATTCATAAAGGTTAATAAAAATGCGCATGCCCCGTAAATAGTAGTAGTAGTCATCTTCTAAATGGAATTGCAATTAATGTTTGAAAGAAAATATCTAATAGAGCCTAAAACTAAATAACTATTTTGAAATTACAAAAGGAATAGTATCCCTCAACTTCAAATTTTGTTTTGAAAGTTTGTTACTTTGTTTTAATTTACAAATATAATGGGCTAGCGTTGTGCAATGGTTTTACAAATGTGATAATCATCAACAGGCCGTAAGTGCAATTTTAGAATTAAGTAAATTATTATGTTTGTAATAAAAAGAATGTGTTTACAATTTTCCAAGTTCGAAATATTCGTTTATCATCATAAATACGAATTTAATTTTACAAAGTTTCACATTATAATTAAACAAGATTATGGAGTAATATCTTCTTCATCCTCTTACTTACCAATAAATTCAGATAAGTTGTAAAGCTAGTGATTTATGATATGCAAGTACATGCCAAATTAATCCAATTAAGCATTTTTATAAAATATTCTAACGATAAGCGCTACGAAGTTTGGTTATTTAAGCTCTCAATGCATATTTAAACGGTAATGATTTAGATATGATTTAGATATTTATTAGTTTTTCATGTGGTTGTTTTAAACAATGCGAATATTTCAATTTAGCAATAATCAACCGAGATAACGTTTCTGCTGTTAATGATTCGCATGTTACGCTTACAACTTATTGCAATTAAATTAATTATATTGCTCCGTTAGATTTTATCATTATGAATACCACGATTTAATTATTGTAGGAGTAACGACAAATGGTATAGTATCGTGGCACTTAACGTTACATTTATAGCAACTGTCTTCAACATTTTCTTTCTTTTATTACCTTCTCTTATGAAAAGGCTGACGAGATATTTTAACTCTGACGTACTGTTTAAAATTTTTAGGAGTATGCTTATTGCATAGGTACATGCAATAATTTTTGAAGACACTGTTGACTCAATATATTGGATGAAGTTTTTATAAAACTTAAGCACACAATGAAATTCTTGTGCAATAAAAATTAGTTATAATTTATCATGTGTTTGTGAAAATGTGCAATATTTTTTCTGTAGAAATAAGATGTAATTTATACGCTTCATATAACGTTTATTTTTACCTTTAACTGCAGTGCAATAAAATATATTATATATTGTTATATCTTAATTTAAGTATCGATTGTTATAAACAAATGTACAAATATTTTTATTATATTGATTTTGTATGTAATGACGTTTAATTCATTTTAAAATATTAATTAATTCATGATGGTACTATGCGAGCGAGGGGATTTAGCAAAAAGTTGAATCCACCGACCACGGTCGTCCTAGTAGCGAATTTTAATGATTTTAAATGTTATATTTTTAAGTTACGGCAACATTAAGTCCCAAAAAAAAAATTAATTTAATGGGTACTTTTTTCTGTTAAAATTGCCGCAATTTTTGAAGGTTGCAGATATTGTCATATAATAATCGAGTCGATGAAGGTGCTTTTTATTGCACTTACTAATTCTCAGCAACAGCTTTGATTTTGATCAATTTTTTGTATGCCTATTTTTTAATATTATTCAAACTCCCAATTTCAGGAAATAATTTCTTACATTGTTTAAACAATAATAACTGAATTTACGGGAAAAATTACTTTCAAATTTTTTTTCACAATATTTAGGAAAATATCAACTGATTTTTAAAATGTAGTATCAACAATGTCTCCCGTAGTCGTGGTTAATAGTTATTGATATATTGTATAAACAGTAATAGTGTCATGTATTTAACAATTTATTGTCTAAATAACACTTCTATTATCAATAAGTTAAGAGGTCACCACTATTTAAACACTAGATCACTTCTTCATTTCTTCTTCTTTTTCTATCACCTCGAACTTTCTGAGTCGTACTTCACTCGATCTCGCTATTTATAGAGATCAGCCATTCCAGAATGTTCCAGTATATGCCTTCTGGATATCTGGTCGTCTTTGGCAATACGTATATTGGGTTGCCTACATATATACATGTGACACTGCCTCCCTTCTAAAACTGATCGTCCCAATCAGTGACTTTGCCTCTGTAGGGAGCAAGCCGGTTAAGATGCATGATCTTCATTTTTGAGCGAGATTCAAAATTTAGAGGTCTCTCTGTTTCAACTTCATCTTAAAGATGTTGGGAAGCGCAGAGTGGCTGATGTTGAAACATTACATCTCGGCCAAACCTCCGGGCACCCAGGAGGACTAGAAGAAATTGTAACGACTTACTGGCCCATTTCCGGGCGGCAGCCTCTCGAAAGCAGACAATGTCATACACAAGCCTCTTGGCGTCCCAGCTTTCTGCGAGAGTTCTCCCAGCAAACTTGGACGTCGCAAATGACTAACTCGTCATCCGTCTTGTGCATGGCAAGGTCCGGCTTGCAGAATCTACAGTCGGGATGTCTGACCCGAGGCTCCACACCAACCACTCATCGCCTTCGTCTGGCGTGGCTAGCAAATTTAGATACCACCTGAGATAAAGACTCAATCCTACTATAACCTGCCCGGCAGCCCCGTTCCTCACGAGCATTGAACGGCAGGCCACGTGTAGGGAGGTTGTTCGTACGGAGTTAAACCTCACGAACAAAGTATATGCTTTCTGGAAACCTGGTCTTCTTTGACAATAAGTATGTTGGATTATCTACATACATACATGTAACACCGCCCCCTACTAAAACGATCAGTGACGTCGCCTCTGTAGGGAGCAAGCCAGTCAAGATCTTCACTTTTGCGCGAGGTTCAAAAGTTGGAGGTGGAATTTTTGATGACCTAACACCAGGATATTCAGGTCTTACAGCAGAGGGTAGTCTGAGCCTTTCAATTTCTTCTCTTACTTCTTCTGTTTTTTCTTCTCTCATTTCATCTATCTTCTTTTCCATTATAATTTCCCTTTCCTCTATCATCTTTTCCATATTGATTTCCATATCTTCTATCTTCATTTCCATCTCATTTCTAATAATATTTATCTTATTCTCCACCCTAGTATTTAGTGCTTCTTGTATTGCTTCCATTTTCTGTTTCATTTCTTCCTGAGCTGCTTTCAATTTTCTTTTCATTTCTTCTTAAGCTACTTTCAATTCCTCTTCCGTTTAGTCCTGTCCTTTTTTCATTTGTTCTTGACCTTTTTCCTCTTTTTGTGTCATTTCTGCCATCAGTGCCATTAATGCCTTTATTCGTTCCTCAATTTTCTCTTCGGTACTTCTGGTTATAACTGGCATAAAATATTTCGATTTTTTCTAGAAACTTCGATGGAACGCTTTGTTAACGTCGGATTTATTTTCCTTTCTTTAAGAACTTTCCAATGATATATGGTTTGTTGGGGTAAATCACGATCGATAGAAACTTCCGGAAAGTTAGATGAATTTCTTTTCTGGGTTTCTCGCGGCCGATTGAAGCTTCCAGAAAATTGACCGATTAATGCTCTGGAATATTCAATGGAATTTTTCAAAATTTTTTTATGAAAAATATTTTTTCTGGCATTTTATAAAAAAAGCAAATTGCTTTTANCGTAGTACGTTTATAAATGAAAGTTGTGCAAAGTTATAACTTGTAAAGCTGTCTTAATCCCAATTTGGCATATTTATATCTTCATTGACTACTACTCGAGGTTTATTTTAGTGGACAGGCAATTCCCAGCAAAGGCTGCAAATGCAAGGCAAACTAATCTTGATTTTTATTTTTTGTCGAGAAGTATCAATTTCTGATTCCACTGTAACGGAACCATCAACCGTATTTACACCTTGTGTTTCCTTTAGAGTTGCAGGAAAAACAATTTATAACAACCATAGTAAGGTGTATCCAAGCAATAAAACGGATCGTATTTTAAACTTTAATTCAATTTTTTAGATATAACTGAAGTATCATTTTTGGATGATATACAACCAAGTGCAAATAGTAGCTTTAGCATTTCTGAATATTTTGCAGTCGGCATTTGCTCAATTTTACTGGCTTTAGTTTATGTTGCGTCTGTATTGTTGTATCTTCATATGCGCAAAAAGCGAAACAAAAGTGAATCAAAATCAACGCCAAATGATAGTCAAAATTTTAATACATTGGAAGATGGAGTAATAAAAAGTAATCCACTATTGAGTTACGAAAAGCATTTTCCTGGAGCTAACTCGAGTTTCACCGATTCATCAAGCACAGTTTCTGACAATGATGATTCACATTCCGTGCAGCTCGAAGAAAAACGAAATAAAAAGGTAATTTTTGTGCCCTATTTATATGTAGATGCACTTACTATTTAATGTGTAATATTCTTCTACGTACAAAATTGTTTTTATTCCTTCAATTTATCTTCAGCTACTTATCAGTTATTTTTCTGTTTAAAATCTTTTTGAAAAAACAATTTATCAATTATTAATTCGTAGATTCAAACCACTTCAGCCTTAGTACATCTTCAAAAACCGGAGTTCGTTTTTCTTACTACAACAAATCAAGACCCCCTCTATCAAGAACCTTCTTCAATTGAAAAGCTACCAGAAGAAAATGTTTCGATTGTAGAAACAACCGAACATAGAGAAGAAGAAACGGACCATCTGAAAGCAATAACAGGAAACACAAGAAAAAAATTATACTTTAATCCAGCATACTTTGAACCACAGTTACTAATGGTAAGTTACAGCCTTTTTTTGCTCATAGGCAAAAATTAACCAGTTATAAATCAAATAGGCTCCACCTCCTGCTGCTGTGGAATTTTTAACGAAAATTCGGGAAGTGATGGCTATTGCGAAGCAAAAAATGGCCAGTAAAAAATTTACTCCAAGCCTGCATAAAATTCCAGAGGAGGAATCATTCGAGCCGATTTACGAACAAAGCCGATCAATTCACAGTAGCAGAAAAGATAGTGTGCTTAGTTTAAAAAAAGAAAACAGCCGAAGAAAATCGTGTTCTAATTGTTCTGGCTTCGATTATCAGAATGCTAGTCTTTCTGTTGAACTGATTCCAGAATTATCGTTACTTCCTGTGTGTCAGAATTGCACACTATCCAATGAGAGTAAAGAAAAAAGTATTCAGAGATGGTTGGAAGAAATACCTGTGAGAACTTGCAGTGAGGAATGGTCATTCAAAACTAAAGAAGAATGTAGTTCAATTCCCACAAAACGTTTAAGATCACCTACAAGGTCTTTGCCTTCTTGCACTACATCTCAATTCTATCGCAGTCTGTCTCCAAAGCCTGTATCCGAATCAGGAAAAATAACAAAAATTTCATTCCCTTATGACACAAAATCTACTAAACCTGTCAATGGAAAAATTAAAAAATCCAGGGCACCATTTCCTCCCCATCCTTCTGAGACAATTACTGTAATTCACGAGAAACGTTCTCATCAAAGGGATCCGAATGGAAAACATGTAGTAGACAATAAACCTTCTCTCAAACCTGATAAAAACCCAATTTATACAGATGAAATTGAGGCATCCTCAGTGAATAATAATATAAAAGCAACGATAGGACCCTATGACTCAGATAGTCTGGAGAGACTTCAACATCAAATGAAAAATATTTATATCTCAAGTTCAGAAAACATATCGCAACCAAATGTTAATTTAAGTACAAATGTAAAGATAGCAGAGGAAACAACAGTTACAAGTGTTATAAGACAAGAAGTTGATTCAGAAGATCTGAATCCACCTTCTAATAATGAAGATTTAAACGATGATTATCATCTTACTGTTCTGAAAACAGTTTGTCAAAAAGTGATGGACAGTAGCTTCTACACATTACCTGAACTTCTTCAAAGTAGTGGAAACAAGGGTTATAATTTAGTAAGTGAAGTTTACGTAAATAATGGCTACAATTTTGGAAGTTTACCAGCTAGTCCTAACCATTCATCAAATTCCACCCTACAAAAATGCAGAAACAGTGTGAAATATGTACAACCAGAACCAGGCCAACTTTTAATTGAAGTTGAAGATTGCCCAGATAATTATATAAAAGTAGATGAGCAAGATTTCGAACCAGATACATTAGATCGAAAGCCAAGTAAAAATTATACAAATAATGAAACACTTTGTAGTGAAAATGAAAACAAGAAAACTAGTAAAATCCTCCTTAAAACGACAGGAAGTTTTAAAACAGATAATAACCGACTTGATGCATACGAAATGGACAATAAATCACTCTTATCCAGAAATTTCGGAAGTCTACGTCAAATTTATCAAGAGAAATCCATGTTGAAATCAAACGATTCACATCAAAATTCGTTAGATTGTAGTGATAAGACCTATAAACACGAAGGAGCCCTACTGACATTAGAAGAACGTCATGCAAAACGACAAAGGCGTTTCACATTTGCAGGTTGTTCCAATGTTCCCCCAGATGTGATACCACCTTCAAGTCACAACTCTTTGTATGATTTCCCGAGACCACCTTACGAGCCACATCCAGAATTATCTCCAGTCATTACAAATGAAAAGTTATCTAAAAATTGTTCTCAAATAAATAGCATACACCAAAAAGAAATTTATTCAAACTGTAAGGAAGGTCTATTTTGTAATGAGTTTGCTAACAATGATGACATTATTTGCAACGGAGTTTCTCAAGCAGCGATCCAGATAAATGATTTATACGATGAGATAAAAATTCCAATGAAGGTAGAGCATGTAGTGTATAACATCCGTCAACTAAATACAAATTCTAACCTTAGTGATATTTTTACTACAAAAAATATAACAAAGCCTGAAGATTCTGGATATTTGAGTACGGATTCCAATTGTAATTTAAAAAAAGCGGAATGTTTTGATATCTCAGTAGAAAATGATGAAGGTGAAAGTGAAACGGACGATAGTTTAGCGGATGGACAAAGTGAATCGGGTGCAGAAAGCGTAGAAACGCATTCCGTATTTTTCGGAAGTTATCACGGAAGTTCTTTTTGCATTCGAGATTCGGCTGATAGTGGTGTTGGTTTTGATATTAGAAGCAGTGAAAATTTATTTTCTTTGGGGGATGAAGATGATGAAAGTGATTCAGAAGCAATGAGCTACGCTACAGTTGTACCTGTTGAAAGTATTTCCTAACTGCTATAATAAATTATATTGACCTTACCTTGATGAAAATACACATTTAAGAAATATATAGGATAAAAATCACTACAAATTTTCACGTTTATGAAAATTTGTTATGATTATATGTATTTCTTAATAAACTATTTTTACAGCCTTTCTCATGAGTTAAAAAAGGAAAATAAACTGAATTATATTACATACAGTTAAAACGTAGTTATCCACACGATTCTTGCCATTAATCAAAATTTATTAGATTCATCGATATATTCCCACAAGTTTAAAGAATATTTATTTTCATAATTTATTACTTCTCAAATATGAATTGAAATCTTCTCTCATTATTTGTTTGTTATTTTTCGGAATTATTTCCTCTGCGATGACCATCTCGCATCCCAACTTTATCAAAAAACCTAATTTCAACTATTTGGGTCTATACGTTTTTACGTGTAATTACTAGGTAACCTTAAAACGAATTGAAGTATAGTTATTGTGTCACATTGATTCTGATATCAAAGATGGAAGTGACGGAAAAAGGAAAAGTAATGAATAACATTGTTTTTTCCTAATTTTCAATGTTTTCAACTTTTATTATCTTACGTTAAATAATAGATGTTCAAAGATTACTTAAACATTAAACATTTCTCAGAAACAAATTCTACACCGACACATTGTTATGTATTAAAAAATTAATAAAATTAATTTCAACAGTCATAAATACCTACCTAACTTACTTTAC